TATCAATAATTCCCCGGTCATTTTCAAGTCAAAGTTACAAGCAAGTGTCTCATTGAGCACGGCTGAAGTCGAGTACGTGGCTCTGACGCTCTGTACCCAAGAAATACTCTGGATGACGAATCTGCTCCATGAGATGAAGATCAACATCGACTACCCGGTTGTCATCAACGAAGATAATCAGAGCGCGATCGCCATTGCGAAGGACAACGGGTATCAGAGTCGCGCGAAACATATCGACATCCGCTACAACTTCGTCCGCGAATAAGTGTAGACCAAGTCGATTGAGCTCAAGTATATCGAGACCAAGTTACAACTTGCCGACTTCCTAACGAAGCCAATATCGACGAAGCAGTTTGAACTCCTGTTAGACAAGTCCAACATCCGGAACTCCCCGTCGAGGAAGAGTGTTGAAGTCAGCAAGGTTTGTCACTTTGACGTGATCAAGGATCAGAACCAGCATCAGGTTGAGGTTGAAGAAGGTTACGCCTAAGTTTAAGAGTAGGCTAGGAACCATTCATTCTAGAGCGCGTAGCAACCAGTCATTTCAAACAGCATAAGTAGGAGTCAATTACTTTTTCCATTTTTCACTCTCCGTCAAAAGTCTCCTTCTCATCCTCTCGACTCTCAAAACTTAAGAGCACCAAGTTTGTCGATACAATAGTAGCAGACCGGGAACCTAATGAGCACTGTAACATCCTACTAATGCCTACAATTATCAAAACGGATGGCTCACTACTATAAATGGGAGCGAGGTATTTATTGTAATATTGGGGTTGTACCTTACACTTCTGTGCAATTATGCGGAATGCATTCTGTACAACTGAATGATATTTGCAATAACGCTTTTGAGCTGCGTAAGCATCTAGAAATACCAAAATATCGGCGCAAATGAACAATATTTAAGAAGAGTTCCCGGTATACATCATTTTCGGTCCCGCTTCTGGATGAGTGTATGAGCTTTACCTCTTTGCATTGTATACGCGGACTATAGAGTCAAAGCGTTCTCTGTGCAAGGTGCACGGCAATCCCACTGAAATATACCCGTCATACCAAGCAGATAAAAGAGGTTACGTTTTTATTATCACAGTGCGTGTACCGGTAGCGCCCTAGCCATCTTTGCTATGACTCAAGTAAGGCAAAACTGGCTTCCGTGTTACTCAAATCAAAGTTGGCAAAGAGTCTTGCAGCTGTAAGTTTCTACAGTCTGTGCAAATATAAGAGGGCATCAAAGAGTGACTGCTACGATGCACAAGTATCTGCAATAAAAATCACTCATAAGAAAATTGACGATCTTTAATGCAAAACGTACTTCAAATTCGCTCCATCTTACATTATTATAATTTTTCTAGAGAAATACACTCGTACTGCGTGAGTGACCTGTAACCTCATTGCCATCGTCACGTCACTTAACGCTTTTTGTTCATATTTATGCCCTTCTTCCTTCCTTATCCTCAATATTTTAGATCTGTTCTGACAACAAAAGGTGGTAGTCGAAACCACATACACTTTTGTCGACGACGTAGCACGAGATGTATGCTGATTATGCGCTTTGCGAGCTCACACGCACCCGAAAAGCACGCTCAAGCTCCAAATAGCTAGATGGTTGTTTTTATCGTTTAAATCCGATGGAAAGCGAATTCGGATAGTTGCTTGTGCCTCTTCACCAACATACCACATTCCTTTATCGCATTGTTCACTCACTCCGTTGCCTACATAATGATGCCACCGATAGTCGCGAAATCGACTGACGGAGACTCTAATTCACCGAGCGGGGTTGGTGCAATAGCGGGCGTACGTTTCTCTTCGCAAAAAAGTTGTTTTTGTTATGACAATGACTTTGTGGCTTTGCAGAATAACTCTTCGCCTTGGATGTCTTTGCCATCATGCTGTAAATCTCAGCATCCACGTCCGATCCAGAGCGGAGATCACGCGTCTTCTCGCTGAGCTTGTAATGCAATTCTTGGTGGCTCTCCATCAAATCCAGCTCGGCAAGAATTTCATTGATCTCGTCCACCTGCTCTAATTCCAGCATCTCAGTTGCGGTCAGTGGGTAGTACGCAGGATCAAACAGTTCCTCATCCGGAATTTCAAAAAAAGTCTCCACATGGTCAGCTATAACGAAGCCTGACTTTCCTGGTGAATGCGGACGCTTCAAATAGTAGTCGTCCGTAATTGTAGGCAGCCAAGTCATGGACGGGTAGAAGGGAGGAGCTAATGCATCCAAAGTTGACGATGATTGAGGAGAAGACACCATTCTTAGTTATGTGTTTCTAGTGCGCAGCCTGAAGAAAATTAGACAATGACAAAATTTGGTCATGGAGACGAGGGTGCCCGACTCCTCGAAGGGATGTTTTAAACTAATTTAAGTTTATTTAAGTTAATTGTAGTAAAAATAATTAATCTGGCGAATCATATTGAATCCCTACGCCTAAAGAACAATTTCGCCTAGCCCCGTGAGCTGAACTTCAACGACTTTTAAGGTTCTTAGGCGTTTGAATCATGCCTTTATTTAAAATTTTGTGATGGTAGAATCAGTGCCGGATCAAAGTATTTATACATTGCAACATAATTTTAGCTGTGTGAAGAGATGGGGCTACACCCTATACACGATTACCACTTAGACAGTTGTAACAGTCAAGCAAAGAGTATAAAAACATCAAAGCAAAGCTATCTTTGCGATACTTGCTATTACTATGCACAATTTCAGAAGTTTTTTTAAGCTGTTCAAGCCGTAATATTGAGCTACAACTTTGCGAGTTAAATTGCCACTATGTGCTTCCTCTGAATAAACTCTGTTTAACACAGAAAGCTAATACGCAGTAATTGGAACTTTAATGTCAATTGTTGGTAGGGGAGGATTCCTGGATCATGATGATTTGTGAAAAGGCAATTCAGCGGATGCAATTTGGTTTGTAAGATGCTGAAATATGTGAAGCGTTTCACGCCAAATTCATATCTTTTCAAAAACAATGAGTATCTGGTATGTACTCTGCACCAAGAGGTAAAGTTTTTCAGCAAACCATCAAATGATCACACAAATATAGGTATGTACGTTATCCCCACAAAATGTTTGATGTGTCAGCAAATTAGAGATGAGAACCTGTGCCAAATGCTAATGACATATGTACACGACATATGAGTCATGCTCAACTACGTTTATAATATTACGTATGGTAAAATCGTAGTTGACAAATGTGTATTGCTTGCAGATGATGAACGTGACAAGCCGACGGCTGTGAAGATGGCAGGTATATAGAGCAAATATAACCACTAAATGTTCTAAGAAAGCCTATACATTCAGTTGTGTAATGCTTAGCCAGCATAGTCTATTCATTAAATTTAGAACGGATGGTTGGAGAATCTTGCCGAATCAAGACGGTAAAATGCCGTAGATGCATTAAACAAAACGGATTTACCGTCAAGCAGCGAAGTATATATCAAAATCATCTATGGTTACAGAATCCACTTTGCGAGCACAGTAGTTGAACTTCGAAGTACGTTATTGAATGCATAATGGCCCTGAACAGTCAATCGATCTAGATGAAGACGAGTTCGGATATTTGTACTAGCATATTCGTACGTAACGTAAAGACGATATTATCGAAAGCAAATTTGACATCTCCGATTCTCTCGTCCAAGCATTAGACAGCTTAGTGCAGTCGCGATGATATTTGATGAAAGCGCTCAAGACAATGGACTTGTAAGTTTGGCGGCGTCAGTTAAATCAACGTTCCTCTTGAATTAACGTTTAAGTTTTTAAGTACAGTGGCACAGACGTCGCCCATTCTTGTCACATACTAAAGAATTCCATACTCAATACCAACAGACCGTTAAAAGAGATTATGGCCCACTCAAACCTTGACGCGGTGTAATTGTGGTGAATCCATGTGTGCCCAATTATAAGAGATATCATTTCGAAAGTGGGCCTTACAGGCGTTTCAAAAGCTGCATATTCTGAGATTTTGATGAAATTTAACACTAAATTATAACTTAGTAGGTAAGGTATTATATGATCACTGTTGTCTGGTTCGGTAGCAACACCTGTACTTGGAATTTAGTCCACTTGAGTATTGCATACGTCATCGTCAAGTACGGTTGCAGAATATATGGATTAATTACTGCATCTATGGGGTATTTTGTTGCTGTTGTGAATGTACAAACAATATCGTCTATTCCTTCCGCAAATTTATGCAACGCTATTGAGGAGACGTCTAGTGTATACATGTATGAGATTACCCGTAAGTAGGAATTTGGTAGGTTGGTGTCGGGTAAAGAAAGAACAAATCATGTTGAATGTGTAGATCTGAAAATAATCATGAGTTTGATTCGGAGATAGTGAATACATAATTTGCAGTAGAAGCATTGTGCTAAATATTCTGTTAATATCTAGCAACTTAACGTCATATTTGCGATCACTGGAATATTTTATTTCGGTTACTTCAGTCCAGTTGCACTATCGTCGCAGGAGAAGCTTAAAATTTCACAAAGGATGATACGTCATTCAAGAAAAAAATGTTCAGTATCACAGAAATGCTTAGGTAATCCTACCCGTTATGTACAAGACCACTAGTATTAAAAAAAAAATCTTGCTCTGACATAATCAGCTCAATGATAAGCATTGATAATGTCGTTGAGCATTTGTCCAGTCGTCACAAACTAATTTCATACAAGTCTAAAGGATTTCCTCCTTAAATGAGCGTGAAGTGATACTGGACCTTGTTTGTTGCGATACAATTCCCACGAACGTTTTCTCTACTGAATCATTCAAGCAAAATATTTCAGGCAAAAAAGAAAAAGATCCGACGATTTCTGATACCTCGTCTCGTCGCGTGCACGACTCTGTACCGTCGTAATCCCATTATACACGATTTCGTCGTCGCCTCTTTATCGTTTCATTCTCGTTTTACCCAAAAGTCAACTACAGGATTTGTTTTCTCCATGAATTCGACTGCTTCCTCGTTTGCTACAACTTTAAACTGGCATGATCCTACTGACGTTCAAGTTCGAAAACTCATGATGACGCGTCTACGTAGCCATCCAGCTTTAGCACAGCACCATCCGATCCTGCAGGACACGAGTACCCATCCGTCACTTTTGCAACGCCTTGAGTGGATGTTGTACCATTGTGCCGGTTCGCTAAGTGAGTATCTTCACCAGCCATCACTCGAGAGACGCGTTCAAAGTCTTGTGACCCACTACAAGCGAAAGTGTTCAGATTTGGAGCCAAGTGATACAACTCGCTCGTGCAAGCGAACGAGGTCGCGAATAGAAATCTGTGAAGACAATTGCCGCATCTATAAAGCTACAAACTGTGTATTTGATAGCAATATCGACTTGTTGCAACAAGTTTACAGTTTTCTAGATGGAATGGATATTTTAAGATCTCGTAGCGTCAACAAGTTCTTGTACTTGCATGCACCGTCGTTGGTCAAATCTTTACATCTCGACATTGGGTCGATTTCAAGCACAATTGCTCGAAAGGATCAAGTGAATGGACTAAATACAATAATTTTAGAATGCAAGAACTTAACAAGTCTACGAATTTCAAATCAAGCGAATCAATTAAATGTCAAAGCAGGCGTCGTCTTTCCGCGAGCATTAGCTTCGAACGAGAAAACAACATTAACGACGGCTTCGTATGGCTACTACGTCGTTTGTGCAGTTGCCAACGCACTGGAAGCTGGAGCATGTCTTTTGCTTGAGAGATTGGAATTAGTGGCTCCATTTCATTTTGCCACCGAAAGTGACGCCGTGATTGTGTTGCTTCGATCACTGACAAATCTACATACAAACTTTAGAAACCCATTGCAACATTTGGTGCTTGACGCGACCTTTCTTGGGGACTGCGGGATTAGTCAAATTGCTGATTTGTTTGAGACCCACATTTCGTTTTTTGAGCGTCTACAGACGCTAACGGTGCGAAACAATTTCATGGGTGAATCTGGTTGTCGCGCATTGCTGGAAGCCATTGAAACGTTTAGTGAGCTGCGAGTACTTGACTTGAGTCGCAATATCTTGAGCAATACGGACGCATTTGCTCTAGCGGATCTACTTGATGTTTCAGTGACAGATTTGAGCATGGTAGATATGGATGAGAGCTGGGAGGCTTTATCGCTCGATAGCGATCACTTTTGTATGCTAGGACTTGCAGGACTACGAAGTCTAAAGCTTCAAGAGAATTTTATCACGTGCGACGGCTTACACGCCATTACAATTGCATTGTGCTCTCGAAAAGATTTTGTTGCTACAGAGGGGGATGTTGTTGCCGATGTTGACCAGATTACTGAAGACAGAATGGATGAAGAGCACTATTAGCACAAAGATCTTGTCACTGTCGACAAATTTGATAGGTTTCAATAGTTTTGTATGAGTCTATTGTTTTATTTAACAAGATTGATTCAGAAACGATCACGACGCTTAAATTAGAACTTGTACATTTGATTTCCAAGACTTTGTTTTCGCCACACCACTTAAGGTGGTCCTCAGATGCAATGAGCATACTGCATTGGCAGTTGACGTTGACGTACTAATATTCATTACTTGAGATAGAGATGATTGATCAAAACGACAAAGACGAGAGTGAACGACGATTACTTGAACAAGAGTTGGCTTCAGAGTTGGATGAGTTGACCGCTGACGATGTTTGGCTCGATGACGGCAATTTTAACGATACAATTGTCGATGATAAGTTCGAGTACGTTCGCTTGGATCTTGACACGGTGCTAACGCGAGTAACGAAGGGCTTTTTACACAGTCATAACGAAACGATTTCCACAAGTTGGAAGCTATTGCTAGAAAGCCTTGAGCGAAATGACTGTGAATTCTATAAACCATGCCACGAAAACTTGCACGAGCTACGTGCATCTTATCTAGATGCTACAATTGACGAAAAAACGCAACATGAACAGAAAGTGAATGAGAGAGACACTGATAGATTAGTAGTTCAAACACGCTGCAATGCCCCTGCTGTTCCTCATCAGACTATTAATGAGATTGAAAGTCATGACACACTGCGTAGCGAGATCGATGTTTTGAAAAAAGAGCGTGATGACGACTTACAAGTCACTTCAAATGCCATTTGTGAGAATTTGACGCATTTTGTTTCTGATGAACCTGTTCGAATTTCACCGCGCTCGATTTTGGATTCGGATCAAGACCTTCAAACGTTACCAACTGATATATCTTCCTTAGCAATTTCTGAAGAAGAACGAAATGCACTCGATCAAGTAAAGCAAGCAAAGCTTAAAGCTATCGCAATGCAACATGAAATTCGAATAACGAGGCGTTTAACGGCTCAGGCGCGAGTCGAAACAGAACACGCAGAGACAGCAAAATTGTTACTCTGTTTTGAAGAAGAATTTCAAAGTCAAGAGAAAAATGCAGCGATGCTACGTCAGGAGGCCCATGAGCGGTCTCAATTAGCTCTCGAAGAAATTCGTTGTCGACGAGTTGCTGCTGCGGAGCGTGAAGTTGAGGAGCGCGTGTTGATGACGTTGGCTGATAAAGATTCGCAAAGATTTGCTTTTGAAATTGTTTGTGTGCGAAGAGAAGAGTGTTTGATGAAAGCCGAAGATCAAGCTGAAAAGCATCGGATCTGGATATCACAACAAAGACAAAAGATTGTGGCTCAGAATTGCTTTGCGCTAGTGTTAATTGCTTTGGTTAATTTTCACACACGTCGACAAAAAGCTCGAGAGCAAGAGAATAAACGAGAGCTCCGCGAGTGCGTAGAAATGCGAGCAGAAGAAGCCAGGGCACGACGTGTGAGTGTCGAAAAACGTCTGTTATATGAGCAGCAAGAGCGTGATAGAAATCGAATTGGGATGACTGCGGAAGATTTACTGTCAAAGGATATTGAAACATGCATCCGATATGAAGAGGAGGAGAGATGTCGGCAATTAACGCGTTGCAAGAGCATGCAGATGGAAGAGATCCAATCACGCGCTGGATGGGCTTTCATTGCACATTTGCGACTTCAACAACAACAAAACGAAAATCACGCACGCTTTTTCATGAATCAAGAAGAATTGCGTACTCGTATTGCGTGGAATTATCAAATTGAAGCCAAGAGACAAGAGTGCGAACGAAGTCTTCTAGCGATATCGTCAGCCTTGCAACGACTTGGACGCGTATTAAAACGACATCAAGTTGAAGCATTTTATACAGAATGGAAGATGTGGCTTGAGCACGAAATTACTTGGAATCGTGTGCGAATGGAGGTTGCAGAGAAGGCCGCAGAAAAAATTCAAACATGGTATCAATTGTATCGATGTAAAGGGCAAGAGAACATGGCTGTTCTTTGTCTTGAGGAAGAAATTGATAATGAACCGCATGTAGCTTGTGAAGATGATGAGGAGGAGATTGTTGAGCAAAAGGTTTATGAGACAGCGGAGGCTCATGGGGCAGCTCTTTGCGTACAATCCGCTTTTCGTGGTTTTCACGTGCGACGAAAGTATGCTCATGCATTAGCGCTTGCCATCGATTTTGGAACGAATGACGATGAACTTGTGATGGATGGTGTGGATATAGAAAATTTTCTTCAGCTTCCACCTGAATTGACCGATGGGTGGGAAGATCCCGTACTTCCAGTAATCATCCAAGAACAATATTCATCGAAAACTAAACATTTTGACGGAAATTGTAGTCACGACATCGACAACAAAGTGAGATTATTACCTCGATCTGATGTTGACATCCCGTTAAAAGAACCACATTTGGCAGCAACCTTGTGGAATAAGATGAAGCGTGTAAAGCAGTACCAGCAACAATCCCGACTAGAGCGCCAACGCCAGCGAGATCCAATCTATCGGGTTTCAAAATTACTGCAGCGCAAGCCTCCGACTTCAAGTAGTGTTCAGAATGGAAATAACCAGAGCAGTAGCTCGGCTAAAGAAGTTCAGAAAACGACAAATTTTATCTCATGGTCAGTCACTACCTCTTCAAAAAAGAAGCCAAAGGTGAAATTGCCATCACTGGTAGAGCGACTACGAAAACAAACAATGGCAGAACGATGATAGATGTATTTGATTAAGTATTTATAAGGAGTCACGCTGATTCTATCTCTTGCGGAGCAGTGAAGTCTCTTTGGTTTGACGCATCATTTGCACAAACACGTCAAAGTCGGCAGTGGCAACGAGAATCTCAGAGCACAATACAGTTCCGGATTCACGATCGACCTTGTAAGCATGGCGCACAAGATTGTAAAACTCATGCACAGTTGCTCCCTGAGATTGGATATACGCTGCCAGACAAATGTAAGCCAATGCAGTTATTTATTTTTCTTTATTGTCATCACCTTCAAGTTTTGTTTCAAAAAGAGCGAGAAATTTGTTATAGATATCCGTGTACCTGCAAGCATTTATTCGTGAAACTTAGTCCTTTTGCTCATCCACATTGATTTTCAGGCTCACATACTCAAGTTTCATTTCATCGCTGTTCAGATCAAAAACATGACAATGGCGTTCGGCAAAAGTCTCGAAAGAATGTGCAAAATCATCGTTTTCGAAAAAGTATGTGATGACCTTATCGACTAGATCGCTTTCCGGTATTTCCGCGCTGCTTTCGTCGTCGTCCTTAGCACTTGCCTTTTCGTGTCCTGCATAACTTTTAGCTTCACTGAAAGCTCTGATATGACGTTTGTCTTCAGCCTTATCGTCCTTATAATCTTTGGTTTCCATAGCCACGAAAATGGCTAAAAGTTTGGAACATGAAAAAAAAAACAGTTTCGAAGATATAGACTCTTCACGAGTATAAAATCGCGACAAATTAGACTTTCGCATGCGACTCACGTGCGTCCCATATATTGAAACATCGCGACACTACTTAAAAAAAAACACTCATCAGGACCTTTCGTCAGCAAAACGATAAATGTCCAGCATGACTTAAGACCGTGGACATTGTAAATGCAATACATGATAATACAAGTGAAAACTTTCATTTGTCTGTAGCTATTAAAGTATCCAATAAAATCCTGGGATTCCAGCAAATGGGAATTAATGAGTACTCAAACGTCTAGTAAAATCATGTCAATGGTTTTGTTTGATATCCCGACAACAAATGTGCAATCATCCGTAGTATTTATTAAGGCGCCAATCAGTTGACACACAAATCAGCACCATTTCCACTCTTCTTTGATTATTTTGATGACTTCCCTGTTAAGCAGAATTAATCATCTCGTCGTCTACATCTGCTCATCCTGCGGCTCCTCCGCCACTTGTTCGTCCTCTCCTCCCTCGTCTTCCGTTGCGTACAGCACTTTGAAAATCGACTGTGCCAGAGGATTCGCTTCGGAATTTTCTGCCGACTGCAACATAATCTCCACTTCCCGAAGTTTGTTGAAGTAAAAGTCACGCTCTTTTTCTAAGCTTTCGACCATCGCACGCAATTCTCCGCCTTCATTCGTCAGTGCTTCATTTGTAGCCGTAAGTTCCTCCAATTCCTTTTCTAGTGGAGCAGTGGCCGCTGCAACAGCCGCTTCAGTGTCAACTTCTATTTGTGCGGTCATCGTCGTCGTCCCAATCGGACGTCGTGAAGCTCCAGTCGAGGTTCTTCCAGCTCGTGCAGCTGTTGGTGCTCCCGGTGGCGTCCGTCCGACTCTTGAAGTAGTTGCGGCGCCCACTTTTCGACGCAGTGGCACCGCTGGACCAGCCGCTGAGGTACCGCCATACTTTTGCGTATACTGTGCGCCACCTTTTCCTTTTTCTCGTTGTGCCACGGGGTCATACGGCTGACCAGATGCATTGCGTTCATAAAAGGCTTTAAACCATTGCATAAACTCAAGATTGTCTTGGTATTTCCCACGCACGAGACGATCAACCTCAACGTGTTTATCAATCTTTAGTTGCATGAAAGCCTTCTGAAGCACTTTATAATTCTGAATGTATTCATAGTCTTTGTTTGCTGACCAGTCCACTTTGCTCATTTGTACTTTGCCAGGGTACATGGCGTCCAAGATCTGGCACGCGACGGCCCCAGTGCACGTCTGCTCAACTTTGGAAAGCGAGATACCGCACAACGTGTTGATCCAGTCCAAAATTTCCTTACGTCCCACGAAGTACGTGCCGTCCATGAGGCTCATGCTCTGGTCAGCCATCGCAACACCGGTTGTAGGATTGCAAGGTGGGTTTTGGTGAAGTGTCGGTATTGCATTTATCTTTTAAATGACGTATAGCCGGATAACATTTACTTAAATTGGAGAATATGTTAAGAAATGTATTGGGAACGTTTAAATAGATGTAAGGCGACTTAATGTACACATGTTAAATCCCGAAAGCCATGGCCAAGAAGAAAGGAGGTGCGTCACCTACGGCTCTACGTTTGATTGCACAATATCTAATGTAATGGATACGCATGGATGCAGACTTAATATTAAGAGCTAATACCGGCAAAGGCATAAAGCTTAAAAAGGGGGGTATGTTCAAGGCGCTAAAGAAACAAAAAAAGAGGTGCGTATGTAGTATTTAGCAATTGTACTAATCGTATCTGAATTCTCGTTATGCTTCTTGCTTTCTCGCAGAACTGGTGTCATAGGACTAGACAGAAGCGACCCGCATAGCAGCAAACGCAAAGCTAAGATGGCAAAGCGCTCGGCTTCAGCTTCCGATGTTTATCGCAATTTTGACGAGCGTATGAAAGCTAAGAAGGCGCGACGGTCTGGATTAATCCCTAAAGCTTCTGCAGTAGCAACTACAAATTTTGTAATGGCAGCTCCCACTTTTCAGCTGTAAGCAATAAGCGTCAAATTCTTGGAAAATGTCCCCATTGCTAACGCAACGCTCATTTGCCATAGAAATTTAACTTCTGTACAATCAGCACCGGCTCCGCGTGAAGTGGACGGCTTTCCTGGATTTATATCGGCGCTAGAGGCTCCAAAGGATGCACCAGTTGTAAATTCAAATAAGCAAGTGTGCAATACTCAACGGATGCAGTCAGAATATTGCGGAAGTAACGTATTTGCAGTATTAGATAATGACGACGAGGACCAAAGTTCTGCACAGAAGATGAAGCTTCCACTAACACCAGCGTATATACGTCCCGCAACGTTCACGTTTGCGACAGAAAAGTTTCCCTTTTCGCCACAGACTTTGGTACAGTCGTCCCTGAAGTCTTCGCTTTACCAGAGCATGCAGTCATCAACAGTTATTCCTGAGATTGATCCTGACTTATGAGCATAGCTATAAAGTAAAATTTATAATTTTTGAGCTCTATATTATTATATTCTGTGCTGTTGCTCGAAGAGAAAAGGCTGGCGCAACGTTCGTGCAACCGTAATCTGTTGATGCGTCGCAGGTGCTTCTGTACGGATTTATGTGTCTCTTTCAAAGAGGCTCTTTGTGCTTTGTACAGGAGAGAAGGTCAGAATTGTAGTTATCAACAACATCGATTGAGTTACGCCAGTGTTCGTGATCTGCTACGTGAGACAATCAAACTGGAGTGAGAGCCCTAGTCTTCAGCAGAGGAAGTAGCAGCGTTTTAGGTACGATGGGCAGCGCCAGCAGCAAGTCAGGCGACGCTAACCCCAAGAACTTGGGTGCAGACCCGAACGATCCGTATGCGTTCCCACTACACCATCGTCCGTACTACAATCAGATGCAGCAGCAACAAGGTCGTAACTACGATGGTACTAAGCAAGGAAAGAATTCTTCAAGCTTTGTTAACCAACAGAATAGCACTGAGGCCATGGAAGTAGACCCACCGACCTCCTCATCCTTGTCATATGCAAATAGAGAAGTGTCTGATGTAAAGCATTCGGACGTTAAGGATGGTAAGCAAGGCAGTGAAGATGATACACAGACTGAGGAACTTACAGTGCCACCTAGAGAAGACGTTGTGCCGATGGTTTTTAAGTGGGAGCATGGCGGTCGCAACGTGTTTATTACAGGCACGTTTAATGGGTGGGACAAGCAGTGCCCTATGCATCGGTCCGGTAATGATTTTACCTATATTGCTAACCTTACACGGGGCAAACACATGTACAAGTTTGTTGTGGACGACGACTGGCGATTTGCCCCGGATCAACTCACAATGGCAGATGTGGAAGGTAACGTGAATAACTATGTGGATGTATCGGAATTCGCTCCACTTTCCGACTTTGACGGCAAGAATCAACTGCAGGGTGATGATGAAGACCCAGACAACCCTTATGCACGGTATATTCCCGAGATTGATGAATACACGAAAGAGCCTCCTCCACTCCCACCACATTTGCGACACATTATTCTTAACAAGGTAAAGCACGCTATATCAATGAACATTTTAATGCTAGCTCCTGATTTTGTGTATTCGCTACATACGTGATATTAATTAGGCTCCACCGACAGTCGATGGCCGATTATTGCCTGTGCCACAGCACGTAGCCCTCAATCACCTCTACTGCACAGCAATTAAGGACGGTATGATGGTGCTTGGTATCACCAATCGTTACAAGCAAAAGTTCGTGACTACAGTTTATTATAGTCTCATGCCCGGCGCGAACTAAGTGGAACAGTGGATATTTTGTAGAAGGCATTTCAGGTAGTTATGTAGTCGGGGGACCACCGTCGCAAATGGTCCAAGTGTTGGACGCGGCATCAGGCATGCAGTGCGCGTGTCTTGCTCCTTTAGTAAGAAGTAGACAGAAAACTCTTTTTTGATTCGCAGCCATCATTAGGAAATGGCTTAACTTAGGAACGGCAGAGTCTTTAGCAGCACGATGCTAGTGTTGGTTTTGATCCTTTCACTCGCGCACCAGCACAATACAAAGCACAAAGCCGTCTTGTCATTTACTGTAGTATTATCTCGCATGCAAATTATATGAAAACCTCCTACTTTGCTTCATCCATGTGTTGTCATTTCCTTCATCTTCTATCGTAAATATGACCATCGGCACTATAGCGCAGGAGTCAACTGCTCAGACGTAGAGATCGGCCCACAAGAGGAGGAAAAGAGTGCCAAATCCCAAAAGCATAGCCGAAATTAATGCTAGAGCCAGCTCCACTAAAGCATTTTTCTTGGGAGCTACCGCGCGAGTGAAGAAAAGCGCCATAAATACGAGCCCCGTTAGCAAGAGTGTGGTCGTGAGAAATCCGTAGCGCTTTGGATTTACTGGACTCGTATACGGAATTTCCTGTATCGCAAAAGAACCACCATAGATTTAACCAATGTACACAGCAAAGATTACGTTCTGTTTACCACGTACGATTTCCATCGTCCGCAAAGTGTTGAGATTTTAGATTGACACGTATGGGATCGAAATGGAAAAGTATTATGTGATAGAGGTTTTTAATCAGAATCAAAGTCTGGTGTGTATTATCGTGTATGCCCAGCTTAAATACGAAAGTTTACTTGTCTTCACTAATTGCCTGTTGAAGCCGTTCCACGAGTGTAACCTTGAGTCCTTTAGGATCGAGGCCGCGCTTTCGTAGCTCTGACCGTAGCTCTGCTACCTTCATCTTTGCAACATATGCGGTGGATTTATCTGAGGATACGCCAGGCGATTCAATCTCTGTAGTGTTGTTTAAAACAACATCAGCATCTGGATGCTCTATGCGTTCGCTCTGCACCTTATTAGCAACCTCATCACACTTCTGAGAGCTTTCATTCATCCCTTCTTTCTGATCTACAGCTTTTTCAACCTGTTTTCCACGATGAGAATTTGAATTTGATGAGTCACTTTGAGCCCTGCTGTGATCGTTCATGGTCTGAATTTCTTCTTTCCGATCACTACTCTTTTCGTTGTCATCTTTCCCGTTGTCCTCTCTCCTCGTTCTAGAACAATTGCCATCGGGTGCCTTGTCTGACACAGAACTCTGCCGGACCAACTTTAAGTCTTCAGCCTCAATCTGCAATTCGTGATTCGATCCTTCCGACATATTATCACCATGTTGCTGTCCTACACTCTCGTCTTTCTCAGCTACTGGTTTGCTCCCATCACTCATGTCTTCATTGTCATCATTTAACTTATCTTCCTTTTTCGTATTAGCCGCTTGCTCGTTTGCGGTTTTCTTCTTCTTGATAATTTCTAATTGATCCCGTAGAGTCTCGAGCTTCGAAGCATACTCAGCTTCTGTTTTGCGCACTGTTTCTTCATGAGTCTGACCACTAGCTTTCGTCTTGGCTTCGTGAGCTTCCATCGACGCTGCCACGAGCTCCTTGGTCTCTTCACTGTGTTTTGCAGGAAGATAGTAAATAGGCGGGGAAGTGATCGTAAGCAGAAATTTAGATTGACTTTCACCCTTCCGGATCGTCTGCAAATGCTCCAACTTAGCTCGTGCAATTTCCTCGCTACGATCAAGCTCAGTCCGTGCAATTGACGCCTCTAGACGATCCACTTCAGCTTCAAAACGTGCCTGATTCTCCAAGTATTGACTCTGCATCTTCTCCTTTTGTTCAGCCTCTTGCTGTTTTGTATCCTGGCGCTTAAACAAACTGGTATCCTTCTCAATTTGCCGCTTTGCCTTGCCCAAATGTCCCATTAGTGCTCCAAACATACGTTTACTTCGCGCAATGCCGTCTTTTTGTGCATACGGCGCAACTGCGCGTAGCTTTCGCTCCTGCGCATGAGCACTGGAAGCAGAGGGGGAGACAATTGAGGATGAAGTGCCATTCGAATCCATCTCCTTTATATCATGAGAACCATCAGGTCTAGTCACAGCTGAATGCAATTTCTGTTTTTTTAAGACACTAGTTTGGCGATTCTCTTCATTATCGCGCTTTCCCCGCCTTCTTGAAGGATTACCCCAACTGTTGCTTTCCTTAGGATGAATGTGTCGATCTGTGCCTCCTGAGCGCGCTTTTGGCTCACCGCCAAGTCGATCAAAGACACTCCGACGACCAACTACACGTCCATTCGGAGTTGCACTACCTCGACGCTCTGTAATGAATACAAAGACGCATACGAGCAGTCAGATGAAAGATCGCACGGCAATATTGAGCTTTTATTCATCGCTTGAAGTCCTAGATCTATCAAATATATCGAAAAAACATACTGGAGCTGTTGAGTGCCTCTCGCTTATTTGTCAACTCCTGGAGCTCGAGGCGCAAAGCTCGCTCGTCCGCCAGTACTGTCCGATCCGCCATAAGTGAGGGGTGGTCGGCCTTAAATTTTGAGGGGGATAGTAGTCAGAGCAACATTACATTTTTATGTTGCGCGTGCTGAAAAGACACACTAGCAAAAATGGCAACTAATGACGCTGTTGCCAAGGCACTAGAGCGGCTACGCTTGAAAAAAGAAAGAATTCTTAACAACAATGATGATGAGATGCCAGAAACAAAGACTTCTACGCCATTATCCATGCAAGTGGCACAACCTGCCTCTGGATTTCAGCTTATTTGCTCAGGAGAAGTCGAAAGCGTGCATGTATATTACTGACTGTTTCAAATCGTCTTTACAAGGTTCTTAAGATATTGTTTTTTGACAGTACCCGGGTGTCACAAACGTGTACTGTCGATATTCAATCACCCATGGTGTTGACTGGCGCGTACTTCATGTAAGTCTTTCATATCAATCGAATGCAAGAAAAGTTGACCAAGTATTGACTATAGGGAGCAGAGAATGGACTTTCACAAATTGCATACCTGGGTCGTAATGAAGATGAGATCCTTTTGAATTTTCCAATTGACGTGTCATTTAAAAGCACCAACCCGTTCGGCTGGCCACGTTTGGTGCTGAGTCTATACGGGCTCGATGGACTGGGCCGTGACGTAGTGCGAGGCTACGGCTCCATTGCATTCCCTGTCACACCCGGCTGCTCGAGGCTTGAAGTACCGCTCTTTCGACCGATATCGTCATCGCGAATACAGCAGTTTGTAGCCTGGTTTACGGGATCGCCGCCTGAATACTTCGACTCGAAATTCATAGCACAAAGCGATAGTCGCGAAGTAACACGAGTCACATCTGCAGGCAAAGTACGTGTCTTGTTAAACGTGGCTACATACGGAATGAAACAGTATGGATACACATAAAAAAGATGGTCTCGAGATATACCTTCACTTGAACAGACCATATTAAAAATAACAATTAATTATCTGCTTCATTATTTAGGGATAACGCCCTCCCGGGAAGCTTGGGGAGTATGATGCTCGCCCAACGCTTTCGGCAGGCG